TTTTTTTTTTTTTTTTTTATCGCTTTAAGTCAATTTATAGCGAAGCTTTATTTGTAACTTAGTGATTTTAAGAAATCTAGTCGATTTATTGAAAACGAACTCTAACGAATCCTTGGGACAGACTTGTTTAAGCTTTTTAAATATTTTCAATTTTCTCTTTAAATGTCGCCCATAACCTGAGCAATATTTTAACGGAGAAGGGAACATCGACGAGTTCCTTCTAATCTTCTAATTCATTACAGTTGACTAAAGAATTATTATATTTCAATATTGATGAATACTGAGAATAAAAAAAGAGAACTCCACGTTCTTCATGGAAATCACAGTTGGTGTCAGATTCGAAGAAAACATAGCTACGTTTCTAGATACGTACGCGTGGATCGAAACCAGAGGAATATATCCGTGTGCAGCAGCCACGGAGAAAGTAAGCTTTCTTAAACATACATGTATATATATATATATATGAGCCTCTTTAATTGCATCGCGAAACGATTAAGATTTACTCGGGATCGAAAGTACGCCCGGAAGTGGCCTCTGAACATCGAGCGTTTCGTCTATTTCCCCCCTCTTGTCCTCTTGATCTCTTCGTATCCGGCGATTTCTCAAGACGCTATAACCGGTCGCCTCATTCGTGACTGTTTTAACGTCTGTTCAGAATGGAAATTAGTTATTTATCACCGTTTACCGATGAAACATTGCACGTATATATCACGTTTATGAAATTAATTTCAATTCTACGGAATTAATTTTATCGAAGTTTTATAGTAGATAAATTTCCTGGATTTTTTTGTTTATAACTCAATTTTTAGAGTTCAGAAATTATTAAAACAGAGATTTATTACCTATCGATTGGAAATTATTGAAACAGAAATTTAACAAATACCGAAATTATGTTCTCTGGAATTGTTTCCGCGCAAAATTGAAAAATGCCCTAAAGAAACGAGAGAGAATTGTAATTAATTTTATGATCATTTTTAAGATCTTAATGAGACCTTCCTCGTTTCTACGAAGTGTGTTTGTTCGTTTGGCTGGCGCGAAAAGGGAAATTTTGCAAAAGTGAAACTCGCCGCGGGGACGAGATTTCCGGCCACGGATCGAGAAAGCGTCCGCTCGTTATCGCCAACTCTTTCTTTAACTTAACTTTTCCCGTCTAGACGCGTAAAAATTTTACTTGTTGTGAAAAAGAACGCCGAACGTGTCGTATTCGAACGTTCCATCAAACATTGTACGATGTTACTTTCAAAATGCTAACAAATATTTTCGATTGTTTCTTCTTCTTTTTTTTTTTTTTTTTTTTTT